GCTCGTTGGTATAACTCAATTCTGTTTTGCTCAAGGTCTTAATACACATATCGAAACAAAAAGACCATTGTTCTCCGTAAGGAGTGGCTGGCTCAGTGGTAAAGTGATTGGTGCCCACTTCTGCTCAGAGCCATATCCCGATCGATATCTGTCTTTTCGAAGCCTAATCACCTACGAAACCACAGCTCATCATCCGCATACAATCAAAAAAAGGCGTCGTGCCCCCTTCCCGATCCTCTAGCCCCAACATAGAAAAACCTCCACTCCATCACCACCCCACCTCCCCATCAAAAAGTAGTTCCACTCACACTTAAGCAAGTACAATATACCTCCCTCTCTCGATAATAATGATTACCTGCTTACAGCAGCCTACGATCACCTCGGCCTTCAACAATCCGATCACTCTAGCCTTTACCAGCCTATAATCACCCCAGCCCTTACCAACTGACAACCCTTACCTTTTTACAAAGGCCTTGAACAATCTCTAGACTATTCAGTATGAAGTGAGTTGGATAGCTCAAATTTGCAAATTGGAATGAAGTGGAACGGCGAAAGCGCTTATAACGTGGTTGCCCCGCTCGCCATTAGCATTACAACTATAGAAGAACGGAACGCTTGGCTATGCCAGCAATTGTATATATATAGAATTGTTAGTTTAGTCCATCCCTAGTACCCTCTGGGAGGTCGTGGCGAGCCCCTGTGGCTTGCCCCCCGGATGTAAATTAATATAAATAAATAAAATAAATACACATATCGATTGTATTTGCGATTTTTAAAATCACTCATTGCTTTTCATCCTTTTTGTAAAATTGATCAGTTATTGTTTTGTAAATAGATCGTATATTATCGTCTCCCCCCGTATTGGTTATTGCTGTAATCGTTGTCGTTGTTGTGGGAGCGATCGGATCGCAACCCGGCGCGCTCAGCAGTGCGACAGGATGCTCATGACCGCACATTGACAATATCATGGTAAGCCCCTTGGGCTATTTCTAGAATATATTATAATGAAGTGAATTGTAAAGCTATTTGTAATTAAATATATATGTTTAGAAATATTAAGATGTCTTTTATAAGTATAGAATCTTAATATTTCTAGTATTTAGTTAAATCAGATTATTAGATAAGTATTTATAAGTAGGGGAATGGTAGATATCAATATTTTTTGAGTATCAAGTTTAATTAGTAATTAGTTTGGTTTGTAGATATAAGAAGATAGCTTTTATTTTAGTAATAAATTTTTTAGTATCTTGTATAATAGAATGAGTACTCTAGAATGGTATAGATTTGAAATTTAGATAAAGGTAAAATTTGTAATTCGAGAAGAATAAAATTATTTAGATATTTTCGGATTAAATATTGTTAATAAAGAATTCAATAAATAGGAGTTATTTTGTTTAATTGTTTTATAGATAAATTATATATAATTGAAGATATTATTCTAATGTTATATTAGCTTTTTTAATTTATTTATTAGTAGTAGTAAATTCTTAATCGATTCGACCTATGTAGCTATATAACTAAAAGACTATGCGATACGCCTATATCTGATTTTAATTGATTTTAAGATAGATAGAAAAAGAAGAATAAAAACTTATCTCTTCTTCAAACTTTTTAATAGAATCCTCAGGCAACCTTCTGAGTAGCCTTTTCAAGTTCTTTGAGCTGCTTATATTGTAAACCTGTTCTGTCTAAAAACTTTCTATCCATAAATCTCTCCAATATATCTATAAAAACCCTATACTTTCTATTCTGTTATGATAATCTCTCTCTTTCTATCTAACTCCTTTCAAAATATTATAAAAGCTATGATTAGTTATAATATCGTATTCTTTCCAAAAAGTTATTTTTACTTTCTAGTTCTTCGAGTTCTTTTTGGAGGGTCATTACCCTATTATAACCCCCTAATCTATTATTTATAAGTCTTATATTCATCTTCTTCTAATATATATTAATAGTATATAATTTCCTCTTAATACCTATTATCTTCTATTTCCTTTTGTATTATCGAATTATTCTATCTGTATAGAAATGATAGACTTTATTTTAATGATATAGGAGACTAGAGCTATATTATAGGGCTAAAGTAGTTGAATAAGATCGAAATAATAAATATAATGATATCAGGGTATTATTGTTTTAGTAATATACATTCTATATTGAAAAGTTATTACTCCTTCAGTTATAGTCGATAGTATATCGTCTGTTATACAAGGTAATATCGAAATTGATATTTTCGCAATAATATTGTATACTAATGATGAAATGCTATATGCTCGAATCAGTGTATTATTGTGAAATGAAAGGTCTGGCTTTTCTCTCTGTCTGTATAGAGTAGTTGTAAGTATATCGGTAGAATATTAATTGCTATATATATTAGTATATCTTTTATAAAATATTTCCTGAAAAAAGTAAGGCCTTTTGAAAAGTTTTTATTCTTCATTTTTCTATATCTAAGAATCTTCTTTTTTATAATTGAAATCTCTTCATGAGGCCTTTGAGTATTAAAAGATCCGGATTATTATAGAAATCTATGATTTAATTTCTTTTATTAATTATATTCGATATAGTAATCTTATTATTGATAGTATTGATATTAGTAGTATTGATATAAATATACTAAATCTTTCTTCTCGATATCGATAACGATATTTTCCTAATCCGGGTAGATATCAATTTAGCAATTTCGGAAAGGGATAGAGGTTGATATTCTGCTTTGAATATAGTAAAGATTAATGGGTTTTTCTAAGAAAATCTTTCCTTGGTTTTTTCGTGTTTTTCATTTATTCATTAATTTCGAAATAATAAGTAGTTAATAACTTAATTTATTTATTTATTTATTTATAGTGATTAACGTCTTGTGGGGGACCTCCCTAGGGGTATGAAAGATGTGGCTAGATCTAGAGTTATAAATACAGAAAGGTGTTGATGTGTATGCTAGTAAAACCTCATAGGGTAAACCCAGTTCTTTTTATATATTTTAAACAAGCTAGTGTAATGTTTGCAAATAGGGCTGTTTGATTGGCTCTATATTCTTAGTGCTTTTTGTTACTCGTGGAGAGGAGCGCTTTGATTGTATGATTATTTTTGCTATAAAACCATATGGGCAGGAGCAGTGTGTATAGGTGTGTTGCTTCAAAGAAGCAGGTGTGTGTGTGATGGTGCTTTATGGGAGCGGAGGATTCGGTTATTGGGCTGTTCGAGAGGAGCAGCCGGAACGATGGTTCCGCTGAGTAGCGGAGTGGCGTATAGGTGTAGTGGTGGTGGTTGGAGGGGGGATCAGTTCCCCTTCAGTATTCGATCGATTGCTTTTGCGGTTCATAATAGAAAAGCTTTATTAGGGTTAGCGGTAGATTGTCGGAGCTTAGTGGAGTTGTGTCAAGAGGTTCACACTAAGGTGGCCTATGAGGCGGCATATAGGGTGGATCTATGTGGATCAGATCGCTATAGCCTTAAGTCGTAGAACAGTGGGAGAGTGGCCCGATCACTCTACCACTGAACCAGCCGGGCTCCTTGCGGAGGACAATGGTCTTTTTGTTCAGAGGAGTTTCATATAAACAATCTATTATTTAAATTCTTTATAAACAATTTCTTCTTAAAAATTTAATAAAAATTAACTAGAACTCGCTAAATATATTTTTAAATTAAAAGTAAATTAAATACTGATTTCTTTGTAATGAATCCTAATAATCTATATATATTAAAAATAGAAGTATTTGAGAGTTAACACTCAGATTATTATTATTATTATTATTATTATTATTATTAGTAATTTTCAACCGGGCCGTATAGGCGAGCCTCCCAGGGGGCATTACGGTTGGGCTAACTGCGGGATGATCTTCTAATTTACATGATCCCCCTTTCCTAGGGATGGGGTCTCAATACCCTTAGTAGCCTCCCAAGCGATAGTTAGCACACTTGCGCTTTTGTCTCCGATCCTCTGAGCACTTCCATACGCGCTTTCCGATTTCCTATATAGTATTTGTTTGAAAGCTACTTTATCCTGTAAGGGTAGCTTTTGTATACATTCTATTGTAACATGATATGTCGCGTAACACTCAGATAAATAGAACTATTACTATATTTAGTTATAAAATTAAAAGAAAACAATGAATAAAGTTATCATTAATTTATATTAATTTTAAGAAATTGATAAAGATTAGTTGATTCATTCTCAATATAAACTATTATCATCTAGAATTTATATTCAATATTTATTAAAATTATAGTGATAAAAAAGCCCTAGAAAGAAATACTGATAAATTACTATAAGTGATAAGAGCGCCTATACTCTATAGGCCTATTCTTTAATATATCTAGGATACTTCTAGAGAGATTATAGATTAGACTTTAATCACTATAAGTAAATAAATATAAAATAGTACAACTATTAATTGATTTATAACTGCATAATAAACAATTATAAAAATTCTGAAATGTTACATTTGATATAAAAACCAAAGCTAAATTGTTTTAGATCTTTTGATAGCCCTAAGAAGATATATACCTCGAAATCCAGCTCTAAATTATGTTATTATTGAAGGGTCTGAGTATGAGATGAAAAATACTAGTGTTTTCCAGTCCAGCATGTTCTACTAGGGTCACGTGTCGTGCTGCACGCGCCCGCCGGATGAAAAATAATAATCAATCAATTAAGCAAGTTGTTAATTCTAAGTCTCTACGTATATTTGGAACTTATGTAAAGGCTTGTATCACAATACTACAATTATCTCAATCCGGGTCGAAGATTATCTTCTGGAATGTGAATTAGAGGAGGGCGACTGTGAAGTTTGATGGGGCCGTCTGGCGATTAAATGTTTGAAATGGAAGATTGGAGTCCCATTCCAACATCTGCAGCCAACTCGCATAGGAGGCTGCCCATCAATCAGCAGGATAACCAATATTCAGTTGTCGCCGGCTTTCATCAGGCTGCCACGACGGCGAGCAGGATCAGCCCGACAAGCTGTGTCGCCCGCAAAGGAAGCATGGGTGTCGCTTTCGAAGGCTGCACTGTGGCTGTTCAAAAACCTTGAGGAGAAGCTGGCACTCGGTAGCTTGAGATATCGCTTGCAGCACGATGAAGTTTAGCCCTCAATATAATTAATTACTAGACTAGCAAGATCTTCGTGGCAACATGATATCGTCTCTTTCTATGAAGCTCCTAATCAAACATTGAGACTTGATATATCCTCATTGCTTACCAATTTTGGAGTCCAACTCAAGGAACGCCTTCCCCGATCGCTGCAGATTATGCTCATGATACAAAAACTTAACGACTCACGTCATCTTAGTACATATCTCTCTGATCACTGTTCTTACTGGTCTTCCCTGATCCGGATTCAGTCCACTCTATCTCCGTATTCACAACAATATTATGCAGTGGTATTTCATTACTCCCCACACTCTCCGCATCGTGCGCCCTCACAGTGGCCCTCACATTACTTCCCCCTTTCCAGTCCCCTCTCTCGTCGCTAATTCCGGACTCCGCAGATAATTTACGAAACGGCCTTGAGCCTTCTCTTATGTTTTTAGAGCTGTCAAACTTCCCACTAGTGTGGATGCTCTTCTTTGGTCCGCCTGATCCGCCGATTGTTTGTAAATGTGGACCCGCAGAGGAAGTGCGTGCTTTCGATGACCGATTTAGAACGCTTGCTATACCGAGCTTTCGAGCGGAAAACTGGACGAGAGGGCCCAAAGTTGGCAGGCAGGCGGACATTATTCCCGAGGCTGATTCGACTACGCACCATACTTGCGCTGTTGCTAGTGTCCCTGGAAGTAGTCAAGTTGTTAGCCCCTAGCTCCCGGTTTGTTTGCTCACTGACTGGATGATTTTGGCAAGGACACGTACAAGTGATGTCTGCAGGCTGAAATTGGAAAAGAGTCGTGAAGCGGTAAATACTAGTGAAAATAACGCTGGCCATATCGTTAGTGCTGAACAAATCTAGATGGATGCACCAGATTATAATTTACAAACTTCCAAGCAAAAACACAAATGAGATGTGTGTCTTCTGCATGACACTAGTATGTAAACCCCAGACTTGCTGCATGGGCAGCGCCAAGATCGCTACATCGGTCAAGATATTAGGAATAGCATTTCCAATAAAAGATGCTTTCAGATTGATACAATGACCCTCAAGAGTAGGATTCCAGATCTTCTGGATTGGAATACACTGGAAGACCGACACCATAATGATGGAGATACACCATGCCACGGAAAGGCCGCCGATGACGAGTGATCCGATCTTAATACTGCGGACTGGGAAAATGCGGCGGTACATCAATAGCAGCGATAGCTTAGTGAAGCATACACAGGTGACGTATAGACATTCAAATGCTATTAGCGACTATATCTATGTCAGCTAACATGATATCTCAAGGAGCGTTTATGAATATCTTCACCTTCGCGTATGATATAATCTCGGGGGTGCTCAGCGCTGTCGTATGTCGTCCCAGTCCAAAATACAGTCCTTTCAAAGGTCTCAGCGATTTGGAGTTTATGCCAGTTTTAGAAAAGCATACCAATTATACATGTTGCAAAAGCCATGAAGAGAAAGAACTGGAAGTAGTCAGCTCACGTTTCACAGGAAAACAGGTGCAGTAAGCCGAACTTACCAAAGCAATATGTATCATAATATCATCACTTCCATAACCAATCCCGTTCATCCGCCGAGATATGAATCGAAGTATAACAAAAACAACTGCAAGCAAAACGATTGCGACACTTGTAGCTCTGAGTTCAGACTGTCGGTTGTCTATGAGGCCTACTTCCGCCATTTCGACACCTATCAGATCGGTATTGATTTGATCAACTAGAAACTAGAATTTCTGTAATATATAATATGGCGTGAACTACTACGGAGAACAGAACATTCTGATATCTTTCCCCTTTCTTTCGAAACTAAGCTTGGGGGATCCCGACTATGGGACTTTTGTGACAAAGATTATGATCTTATGTTAGGAACAAGGGTTGATGGCTTTACTACGGTACCACAGGACCAAAAGGAAATAGTAATCCACGAGCGTGTGCGAGCCAGCTATCATACTACATATTGGTCTCAAGGATAAATACTTGTAGTCCCTGTTCTAGGATATCTAATTTGTTAGTCAATCAGCTCGAAGAAATAACCTCTTTGTGTTATTTGATTGGCTGAAATATAGATCGTGGAGCGACAAGGAGGGTGGATCTCAGCCATGTGATCCACTGCACGTGATCCTGACACGGCGCCGGAACCTTTTCCAAGCGAGGCGCGACTCTCTAGCAGCAGTTAAAAGTAAGTCTCCGAAAGGCTCGACTGGTAGAATTGGCCAAAATACTATTGAGGACCTCACTTACTCGAATCCATCAATGCAATCAAAAGAAAATTTAGTGGCACTTCCATTTCTAACATTTCATCGAAGGCTAATAAGTTTTTGAGTGGAGCATTGACCTTCTAAATTCTATTGTGGATGTTTATGAGGGAGAAAAAGGAACAATAATTGAACAATTTTGCAACTGTCTCAAATTTTTAGATTGTCCGACAATAACCCTTTTATATTTCATCTATTGGCGAGTATCTTTCCAAGTACCCTAGAAATGATCCTTGCAGAGTCTAGTCTGACAGCCGGTAGTTCCCGCAGCGTTATGCACGACCGAGACTATTTCCGCACGGAGCTCTATCAACCGCTTATCTATTCCCGCTCTTGGGTAATGATACAGACTCCCAAGTCCCGTGCAATAGAAGTGAAGCAACCATTTAGCTTCCATGTCCCAATCATACCGGTGGGTCAGGCCCTGCGGGACACAGTGATCGCCACTTTAACACACGCTAACAACCATGATTGCGACACAACAAGTAGGGTTGGGCATATATGACATATTACTTTTGTTATCTTCGTTAAGAAATTATAAGGTGTAATATTGTATGTCTTTTGTCACTGTATCCCTGCTACTACCCATTACCCATCATCGAAAGAAGAATGAATTTGTGTCGTGTGGACCCGGCTATTAGCGTCATGACTCATGACTCATAAAAGTCCCTTTCGCATCGTACGTACGTACTTTGAATCATTGAAAAACATTGCTTTCTTATGCTATGTAGAAGTTCTTTTGTTTTCAGCTTAGAATCCCTGGAATTTCTATCTATGGTGTTTCACGATTCTGTCGACAAGCCGTGATCCACTGAAGTGACTTTTTCCACTGAGGGGTATGAAGGAGGACTTTCTGGTTGGTTTACGCTCTTGAGATATCAGCTGGCGAGCTGTGTGGAGTATATTTGATTGTAAGTATAGCTAGTTTGTAGTAGAAAATAAGTAGTAAAATCAGCTGGTTCGTATTGAATTCCTTGGCCTGGCTTCATATCTGGAGATAGTCAAACTTCTAATCTCTTGTATCCTTTTCTCTCCTGAAAAACTTGCAAATTTAGAGAAGTAGATATATCTGGTAGTAACCTGCAGTTCTATCTAAAATGTCGACTGAAAAGTCAACCATCCTGTTCGTGCCTGGAGCATGGCACTTTCCTGCCAGCTTTGATGCTGTGAGAGAATTACTTAAGCCCCTAAGTTATCCAACTGAAGCTGTGGCGCTGCCATCTGTTGGAGCCGAGCCCCCAAATAAAGGCCTATCTGACGATGCTGCTCATACCCGGGCTGCCATTGAGAAGCTGGTCGAGGCAGGAAAGAAAGTCGTCCTCGTTACTCACTCATATGGAGGGGTGGTTGGATCTTGTGCTGTCGAAGACCTGGGCTTTGCTCAGAGGAAGAGTGATGGGAAGGAAGGCGGGGTTATCAACTTTGTCTACTTGAGTGCATTCGCGCTGCCGAAGGGCGTCAGTCTTCTTGATGCTCTCGGAGGTAACCCGCTTCCTTGGATGAACTTCAAGGTATAAGTACTTTCAAAGTATCAATTCATTTACTAAAATTCCACAGGGCGACTATTGCTATGCCGACACTCCAGGGGATATCTTCTACCACGACCTATCATCGGAAGACCAACAGAAATGGATTGCGCAACTCTCACATACCTCCTCTGCCGTCTACGGTGGCAAATCAACACACGAGCCTTGGAACCATATGCCATGCACTTACATATTCTGCGAGGACGACAAGGCAATTCCCCTTGCAGTGCAGCAAGGCATTGCAGCGTCTATGGGAAGTAATATCACGACTTTCAGCATTGCCGCGTCGCACTCGCCATTTTTGAGCACCCCTGACAAGGTGGTGCAGGGTATTGAGCTAGCTGCGAAGCTTGGTTTGGAAAAGAGCCAGTAGATTGTAGCTTCAAGACTTAATCATAATGGTGGTATATAAGAGATACGGAAACGGAGGAACCAGACTGGAAATTGTACGCACACCTGAGCATATATCGTTCAGGGCAGACTAAAATCGGGAAACTGACATGATTGGCCAATTTATGTGAGAACTCGCGACTTTCATCACAAGTGGCCGAACTGTTAATCACAACATAACAGAGTTGGAATCCTCTCAGCAGGCAAGTGTGGTAGATAGCGGGCAGAATATCATGATTTGGGGGGCAATATAGCTGGGTAATCTCCCTTTAGGAGCCATCATTTATTCTTTCAATAGTTGATCGAATTCAAAGCTAGGAGCTATTAACACCCACAAGAAGAAGCATCAAAACTCGAGGTCTGGCCCTCGATGGATTCGTAGAAGTAACCGAAGTTTTATTGTACTCCTGTGTTATATAATCATATATCTCTATAAGCATATCAAATTTGTCAATTAGTATATTCAAACTCTCTTTTGATAGATCATAAGTAACTTGATGTGTAAAACTTTTAATTAATTAGGGCTTAGTTTTTGCGGCTAGAAAGAAGGGAACTTAGTTTTTCTAGTCGGACAGACAGAGAAAGCTTATAAAATAACTTCAATTTGATATACAACTCTATTTCTTATATAAGATATATATTATACGATAATATACAAACTCAAATATTTTTATATAAAAAAATAATTCTAATACTTTATATATGTTCTACTTTGAATTAAATATTTCAGATTAAATATATATTTTCTTTTTTATTATTGTCTGTCTTTCTATATCTTTTTTATAATTATTATTGATTATATTTATCTATAAAACATTAAATACTTTTATTAATAATTGTCACAGCGCCAACTACATGATCTGTAGTTGCCTTCGTGCCTCAGGTACAGAATACTAGTGCACCCTATTTTCTATAAGTAGGACTTTACTCTTTCATAACTCTTCTACCCTTATGGTACAATATAAGTCTTTACCTATACCATAACAGTTTATATTATTATCAAATAAACTATCACAGCTTTATTTCCCATTTTATTTTCAAAGCCTCATCGATGTCTTGTTTTAATTGCGTCGATTGTATTCATTATTAATTCATTGTATATCTTATTGCTAATGTTTTGAACTTTAAAAAACACTAAAGATAAATAAATAAGCATTTGTATTAGAAATATCTATATCTAGCCTATTTTTACAATTTCTTTTCTTGAATTACGTTTTCAATTTTGTTAAAGTTGATATCTCTTCCTTTATAGATCTATTCAATAATCCAAATGCTGTACACTTTGTTGTTATTCAAGTTGTATTTAAATTGATCGAATCGATTACAGGCTCATTACAAACCCAAATTGCTATTACTTAGGCTTAAGCTATCGATACTCAATTAAAGATTATCAAATTGAAAAACACAATTGAGATATTGAAGATTACTGTTTATAATAATTTGTAAGCTTTATTTTATTATAAGTATTTCATTGCTTCTGAAAAGTTCAGTAATGATAAATAAGATATCATAAAATGCTAAGATCAGTACACGACTTTTTGTAACATAATCAATTACTATTTGATTATAAATTACAAAAATGAATTAGAGTTTTAGAAAATCATATTTCTTATTAATCTATTTTCGGCAGCAGGGAAGGCCAATTGCAGCCAGCCAGAACAAAGGTCCAGGTGATCAGCCAGTGCCTTCCCCGAATCAAGGAGACGACTTTAGTAGGGCCCCATTACACATCAGGGTGTCGAACGGATTCCACTAGAGGCCTTACGAAAGAGGTAGTGGCAGAGCAGTTTCAGGAATGGTGGAACAAGCGTATACACGATCAGATCACTATATTCTCTGATGGATCGGAACAGACCGACAAGGATGGTAGGCGAGTAGGATATGGATATGTCGTATATAGAGGACAGACGGTAGTATGCGAAGGAAACGGTGGATTGCATTACAACTCTTATGTATTCGACGCGGAAGCGATCGGGGCATATCGAGGTCTCCAAGCAGCGATCAGAAATATCACCGGCATAAAACAAATGGAAATCTGTATGTGTATCGATAGCACATTGGTGATATGGGGAATGAGAGGTACAGCCTCTATCACATCGCAGTGGGCTTTCCTCAAATGTCACAAACTGATGCAAACGTACTCGATCCAGATCAAATGGTTGCCAGGCCACACAGGGATCGAAGGGAATGAGCGTGCGGATGCACTCGCTGATAAAGGGACAAGAAAATCAGCCTCAGGGCATGCGAATCAACCTACAGCAAGCGGTATCCGCTCTATAGCAAAAACTGCTATGGAATCGGCAGTACAGGTATAATGGATCAAATAGAAACCAATACTCTCCAAATAATACCAGAAATGGAATCCAAAGAGTATAAACAAATACCCTAATAAACTAGAACTCTTACAAGCTATTCTTTACCGCATACTAGTGATTCGCTCAGTATACGGCAATTTCGAAAACTATTATCGACGATTTAAACACAAGGAAGCAACAATCCATTACTCATATAGCGCATACAAATCCTCCAAGCATATTATATACTACCACAAAGTCCTTGCGACCTACAAAACCTGGCCCCCAGATATCAGGTCTAAATACCCACCCTGCAATCGGGTGGTTCAAGAACGACTACTGAAACAGCTAATGTATACACCAGTTAAGTTCGCTGAATTTATTGCTATAACAGATTTCTACAGAAGCATATACCCTAGAACGCTATTAGAAGAATAGGAAGAGGAAATGGAAATGGATTGATTGATCCGGGTGAACACAAATACAGAATAGGAGGCGATCGATATAGCAAGGCTATAAAGAACAAAATCGATATATGTAATACTCTACGCTACACTAGAATATATACAAAAACTATTCTTACAGGATAAAGCAGCTTTCAATCAAAACATTATATAAAAGATCGGAAAGCGTGTACAAAGACGCTCAAAGAATTGGAAACAAAAGCGTAAGTGCACTAGCTATTGCTTGGGAGGTTATTGAGGGTATTGAAACCTCATTTTTAGGAGAGGGGGATCATGTAAATTAGAGATTATCCCGCAGTTAGCCCAACCGTAATGCCCCCTGGGAGGCTCGCCTATACGGCCCGGTTGAAAATTACTAATAATAATAATAATAATAATAATATTAATCTATTTTCTGATTTTATTTATATAAATAATCAAATATACTTTAATACAATTACAGACAACGCATATAATTTCAATCTTTGATCTTTTAGATAATATATTGTAATAAGTATTTAATATAAATTAAATAAACAATATTAGATTCTAGATCTTTTATATAAAGCTTTTATGGATTATAATAAAT